ATAATGCTGAGGACATACTGTTGAATTAAAATTGACTGTCTATAGTTATAAAACATACATATTAGATCCTGTCCACAGAGCCTAATGTGTCTTTTGACTGATGTGACTTTCATCTTTACAGAAAAACCTTGTCAGAATCCAGTAAATAATAGGATTTGGCACATTTCTTGTAAACAAATTCAAAACATAAGATCAATATTGAAACATAAATACAAGTAAACTTATTTCAATTTTTAATTAATGAAAACATTGTCTTCCATTTTTATCTTAATTCTCAATCCTGTGGAAATACCAAATCTCAAAATCTAGGTAATAAATAACTGAGACTGATTCAAGCAGCATTCTCAGAAAAATATAGTTCATCATTCAGAATTTAAGAATTCTTAATATATGCCTTGGCATTTCAAACTAAATACAGCCAAGAAGAGACTATCTCTCAGTAGGTAAGGAAGTGACAGGTGTGTTCTACAGATCTGGGACTGAATTTTGGCTGTTTTCTTCCCTGATCATGGGAGATGGATTCTTTTCCACAGTGGAAATATGGTCTATGAGAGTTAGCCAGAACTTTAGAAATATTCAGTAAGTGTAGGCACATGCTTTTGACAATATAGTGCCTTATTGTGTAAATTACAGAAATAATTTAGTTTCTTAAGGTGCAAACATAATTTTCGGTTAAGGAACTTTCTCAAACTTAGTTTCAGAATGTCAATAGTGAGAGGAGACCTGCACAGCCTTCTCCTTTTTTTTGGCATTCTCATTATTAGAGAGATTGCATCATAGGCATGTGGTTCATATTCAATGTGACAAGTCATGTAGCGATTAAAAATTGGAATGCTTTGACAGCAGGGTGAGCATGAGGATCAGTTGCCAGTGTAACTCCTCATGACAGAGAGAGCCTGGCAAATGACTAGGATCTGGTCAGGGGGGAGTCTTCAGCATCAGTGCACAAGGCAGAGAGGACTGACGAGTCTCACCAAGACAGCACCCAGGGATGGCAGATGCACTGACCAGTTTCACGTCTTGCCAACACTCCCCTTGTGCTGTTTTCCTGTAGCAACAAAACGGAAACTGAGCTTTTGCAGCCTTAGGGTGCAGATTTTAGGACTGGTTCTGGAAGTCAAACAGAGTCCTGAAATACAGCTTCACATGTACACACACACACATGCGCACACACACACAAAGAGAAACATAGACACATATATACACACATATATACATATGTACAAACATATTTACAGATACACGCACACACACTGTCTTGCAAAAGGGTATTATGCTTTTAAAGCTATAATATCTCTGAGCAAAATTTAAGAGAAGGTCCATAGAAGGTTAATTCCTGTTCATTTTTATTCAACATCATTCATTAAGATTATTATTATTTCAGTTTTCTGGGTTGAAATTTATTTTTACTTTCATTTAATGTGTATCTATGTTAATTACATAATATCATGTTGCTGGTCTGGATTTACTTTCATGTTCATTGTAAAGTATCTTGTTGAAAACTTCAGGTTGAAAATTAATGCTATTTATAAGGGAAATAAACTGTTCCATGAATTGTTTGTGTGCATGCGTTTGTAATTAAATTGGTCTCTAGTTAGCACTGAAATTTTTTTTCAACAGGTCTACTAATTCCTAAGAGTGATTGAATCCATGAAGTGTAAACCAAATAAACCAAAGAAGAAAGTTCAGAGAAGGAAACATATGAAGAAAATGAAATGAATATTATTTGCAATATTAGAATCCATATCATAAATAAAACAAATTTTATTGACTTGTTTTTTAACTGTATGCACTGTGAAAAACACTGTCAAATTTATAACCTACAACTTCTTAAATATTTTAGGCTTGGTATAAAATATTTTCAAGTTATGGCTCACTGAGATAGCATTACAAATAAATGCTGCTTAAACTAAATGGAAAATTTCACAAATAAAAATTTTTATTACTTGTTTTATACATTTGCAGAATAGTAAACCGGCACCTGAGCAACTGTCAATGGTAACTGTCAATAATTTTGTGTGTGTGTGTGTGTTTGCACATGCATGTGTGTGTATGTGTGTTTTAGGAATTATTATGAGCTCATAGATATATTTTTCCAGCTTTTATGTTCAACGGTATATGTGCAGGATGTGCAGGTATGTTACATAAGTAAAATGTGTACCATGGTGGTTTGCTGCATAGATCATCCCATCACCCAGTTATTAAGCCTGGCATTCATCAGCTATTTCTCCTGAGCTTCTCCCTTCTCTCACTGCTGCCCTCCAACAGGCCCCAGTGTGTTTTGTACCCCACCATGTGTCCATATGTTCTCAGCATTTAGCTCCCACTTATTAGCGAGACAAGAAGGTATTTGTTTTTCTGTTCCTGCATTGGTTTGCTAAGAATAAGGACCTCCAACACCATCCATGTTCCTGCAAAGAACATGATCTCATTCCTTTTTGTGGATGCATAGTATTTCATGGTGTATATGTACCACATTTTATTTATCGAGTCTATCATTGATGGGCATGTAGGTTGGCTCCATGTATTTGCTATTGTGAAGAATGCTACAATGAACATAAGCCTGCATGTGTCTTTACAATGGAACAATTTGTATTTTGGGGGTATGTATCAAAAATTGGGATTGCTGGGCCAAGTGGCATTCCTGCCTGTATGTCTTTGAGGAATTGCCACACTGTTTTCCACAATGGTTGAACTAATTTACACTCCCACCAACAGTGTAGAAGTGTTTCTTTTTCTTCACAATCTCACCAGCATCTGTTGTTTTCTGACTTAATAATCATTCTGACTGGTACGGGAAATACATTTTTAAAAGTACACAGTTCAATGGATCCCAGTGTATTTACAGAGTTGTTCAACTATTATAATCTAACTCTAGAACAGTTTCAAAATTTTGGAAAGAAACCTTTACTCATTAGCAATCATTCCCCATCTCCCTCTCCCTACCCTCAGTCTAAGCCATGAGTAAATAACTTTCTGTCTCTATAGATTTGCCTATTCTGGACATTTCATATAAATGATATTATGCAATAGATTGTCTTTTGCAACTTGCTTCTTTTACTTAGCATAATGTTCTTGAGGCTTATCTATATTATAGTATGTATTAGTAATTCTTTCCTTTTTATTGACAAATAATATTCTATTATATGAATATATCATATTTTTTTCATTCACTCATCTATTAATTGCCAATTTGACTCTACTTTTTGGCTATTATAAATAATGCTACTGTCACCATCCATGCACAAGTTATTGTGTTGACATATACTTTTATTTATTTTGGGTACATAACTAGTTGTGAAATTTCTGGGTCATAAGGTAACTCTATGATTAATTTTTTGAGGATCTACCAAAGACTTTTTTCCAAAGTGGCTGCTCATTTTACATTCCCATCAGCAATGGGTTAAGTTCTCGATTTCTCCACATCCATGCTAACCATTATTATTGTCTGCCTTATTATTATAGCCACTTTACTGGGAAGAAGTGATATCGCTTTGTGCTTTTAATTTACCGTTCCAAATGACTAATGATGTTGAAGGTCATTTTAGGCACTGTTTGATTTTAGGCCAATGGGAGCACTTTCAAACTGGCTCCTTATTCTTCTGGCATATGTTTGCTTAATAACGTTTGAGGGCTTCCTTTCTTCCTGGTATAACCAGTGTTCAGTCCTTGTTTGGACATCCCTTAGCTGAGCCCCAGAATTAGTCATTTCTCCAGGTAACTTTGTACCTTGGCTTCTTTTAGTGGCAAATTATAGATAGAGACCACAACCTGGATGCTAGGAATGCTCATTGCTATGGAGTTTTTATAGCTTGTTTTCTAGTGAGAGAGCAAGGGAAAACAATACATACACACACACACACACACACACACACACACACACACACAAGATAATTTTTAACTAATACTGTTGTTTTAAATTTAAAGTTATAGAAACTTACTTAACTTCCCCGTTTTTTCTTTTTTAAACTGAAAAAATATATATGACTTCCACTGTTATCAACAAAATTATTTTCTTTATTTTAAAATATACCTATAAGTTTAAAATTAAAATATAACCGTATTCTCAGCACTTTGGGAAGCTGAGGCAGGAGAATGACTTGAGAGCAGAAGTTCACGACCAGTCTGGGCAATATAGTGAGACCCCACTTCTACAAAAATACAAAAATTAACCAGGTGTGGTGGCACAAACCTGTAGTCCTAGATACTTGTGAGGCTGAAGTGGGAAGATTGCTTGATCCTAGGATGTCAAGGCTGGAGTGAGCCATGATCACTGCACTAGAGGCTGGGTGACAGAGCAAGACCCTGTCTTAAAATAAATACATACAATAATATTGCCATTAAAATTAAGAATATTGCATAAAATTTGCTTGCTTTTTGTCCTTTGAATATAATATGTCATGGATATCCAGTCAAAGTACTGTATTTCAAAGTATTTTCTCTTTCTGGTTATTCTTCCAGGTGATATAAAGTTAGGTTTACTTGTTTTAGTCATTTTTAATCTTTTAGGGAATTTTTACATTTACATTTGTATTGCAAGTATGTTAAATAGTTACACAGTTCTATGATAATGTGGACTAACAGACGTTTTACATCCATCCCTCTTCCATCCACTCTGGTTTTTTGCTTCCCCTAAAAGTAACCGTATTATTAATTTGGAGGTTATTTTTCTATTATTTATTTTTTAACATTACCAAGTAGTCCATATGAATATTCATATTTTCACCACTTTCTTAGACTAAAATTGGCATCCTTGTTTTTTTCACTTTACACAGACCCTGGATAAAACTCTGCATTAAGAGGGAAATAGATATCTCCTCATTCATTTTGCATTTGTAAGGCTCTCAAATACACAGACACAAATTATTCTATTGATAGACATTGGAGTTGATTTCGTTCTTTGGTCTAAGAGATCATACCACTATAAATAGTCTTGTCAAGGTTTTATTTTGTATTTTTGCCAGGACATCTTTAAAATAGAGATGAGATTGCTAAATACACCAGGCACAGTTTGTGCTCCCTCGGGATCCCCCTTCTTCCCACTTCTGTGCATTCCTCTCTCAGCTCTGCTCTGTGAGTCTTCCTTTCTAATGGCCTGCAGCTGTAACTGGAAGACTGCCCTAAAGATACTGGAGCAGTTCTCTCTTGCATGCTCAGATTGCTAGAAGTACCTAGGAATTTATATTCCTCCAGGGTAAGTGTAGAAAAGATGGATGGGTATAAAGATGTGAAAAGCCCAGTACCTATGCCGGAGGCACCCTTATGAAATCAGGCACAAGCTTCTTCCTGAAGACTCTGCCTGAAACTGAATACTTGCAAGGCATCTTCTTCTTCCTTAGACTTACTCCTTTAGCTTTGTCTCCTAAGGGTACTTTCTTAATTACCCATTTGTACAATGCTTTGATTCTGAATAGAATTTAAGATAGTGGTAATAGTACTTACCACCAAATTGGGTATGGAGTGAGAGGGAATGAGAGAAATTAAGGACGATTCTAAAGGTTTTTGGTTTGATCAACTGGAAGAATATAATTGCCGCAAGTAGAAGGAGAAAGTTATGATTACAGCAGTTTTGAGGAAGAAGATAAGGATATCAGCTTCCAGCAAAGCTTAAACCCAATATTCACATTAAAATAGTGCATAGACTCTGAAATTAAAGTTCAAATTATAGCTTCCTTTAAATCAGGTACTATGTTAGAAAGCTTTTGGAATTCCAAAAAATACTTGGTCCTGGACACCACACACAGAATATGTAAAATAAATGTTTGCTGAATGAGTTATACGGTATTCCATCCTTCAATTTTTTTCCCTATAGTGAGTGTGAAATATATGAACATAGCTTCTCTCAAATTCATTGCTAAATACTATTCATACTCCTAAGGGTTTATAGTGATAGAAAATATTTTTAAAACTGGTAATAATTGCCAAACTGATAATATTTATTAGGGATTATCTCTTTAATATGGATTTTTAAAAATACTGTACAATGAGTATATGTAAAGAAAATTCTACATTTTCTTTTAAAAGACATAGATGTAATTCATTTAAGAATACATTGTTATGAATGCATTTAAGCAAGAAAAAAACAGATTTTAAATGTATCCTTAGGTTTTATAGCCATCTATTTTACACAGACTTTTCATATTCTTCTCTTTATGAATCAAAATTCACATGCCTTTTAAGTAACTATCAATATATATAAAATAACAAAAAGAGTCATCATACTTAGAATATCTTATTTTCGCCTTTTCACAAGATGGCGCCGAAAGCGAAGAAGGAAGCTCCTGCCCCTCCTAAAGCCGAAGCCAAAGCGAAGGCTTTAAAGGCCAAGAAGGCAGTGTTGAAAGGTGTCCACAGCCACAAAAAAAAGAAGATCCGCACGTCACCCACCTTCCGGCGGCCCAAGACACTGCGACTCCGGAGGCAGCCCAAATATCCTCGGAAGAGCGCCCCCAGGAGAAACAAACTGGACCACTATGCTATCATCAAGTTTCCTCTGACCACTGAGTCTGCCATGAAGAAGATAGAAGACAATAACACACTTGTGTTCATTGTGGATGTTAAAGCCAACAAGCACCAGATCAAACAGGCTGTGAAGAAGCTCTATGACATTGATGTGGCCAAGGTCAACACCCTGATTTGGCCTGATGGAGAGAAGAAGGCATATGTTCGACTGGCTCCTGATTACGATGCTTTGGATGCTGCCAACAAAATTGGGATCATCTAAACTGAGTCCAGCTGGCTAATTCTAAATATATGTATATCTTTTCACCAAAAAAAAAAAAAAAAAAAAATAGAATATCTTATTTTCATATCTCATAACAAAATTTTATCTTATGCAGTATTTCTTGAATTTCTTTCTCATATTGTTCTATAACACTATAGAAGGAGTTTGCATATAAATTCCAAGTACTTAAAAGTGAAGCTCATATAAGAAATTATATGGAGCATCATTTAATTTTAATAGATGACAATTAAATCTATGATAATTTGCATTTCCAAAACAGTAAGTGTTGTATTATTGAACAATTTGTAGATATGTTATGATGTATAAACTTAATGTTAAGATATATATGCATTTGCTACTTTTCATATAACATCTAAAACTAACCAGTCCTTAAACAAGAAATGAAAGATTTAGTCCTAGAAAGTTTACTGCAATATTGGCCAGTAAAGAAAGAGTTAAATTGAACTTTGGATATATGTTAGTCATAACATAATCTCTTGATATATTAGTGGGTCAATAGTTCAGCCAAGAAAGGGACTCTAACTTGAGCGGACACTAATTAAAAGAATCAATTCTTATCCTACTACATATGTCCAATCATATTAACACATTTCTAGATTTCTTACTCAGTGGACTAGTCAAGATTAAAGGATTTGCTAATATGAAGGAACAGAGTATGCTTCCAAACTGACTGAGCAGATTTATGAACAAATTAGTTCATTTAAAATTGACAGTGAAAGATTGATTTTGCACAGAATGAGTTACCTAAGGTATTCATCATTTCCTCTGCCTCTGCACACAAGACAGAGATCCGTTTCCTTCACTTTCTGATTGTAATAGGGCTGCTTACTGAGCACCTTTATTTTGCAGTCCTGATTGCAGCCTGTCATTCCTTTTAATTCAGACATATTTTAGCCTCTTAGGCAGACCTTCAAAAATAACTTCCTTAAAAGCCTCAGAAAAATGACTCATTACACGTTGCTCAATTCAACCATGTTATAAATTATAATACAGGGAAAAGTTCTAATTGCACAAAAGATCCAATTACTCATAGGCTATGTGACTCCTTATTCAAAAGCAAGTACAAGCAGGAAATGAAGATACAAAAACAATTTCCAAAGTTGAAGGTCAATACTCTACAACTCTAACGAAACCTAAGATGTTTGACATTTCGTATACATTAGTGTATATTGGTATGTATTTAGTAGATAAATATTTTAAGTAAAGGGTTAGAAATTATATACAAAAAATGGAATTAAATGCTGAAATAATTGAGGATTTTGTTTTTTAAGTGTAAGAAAATAAAAGTGAAACTTTGTGGAAGAGGAAAAAGAGTATGACAACACAAACACATTTAGAAAACCATAAGAATGGTGGCTCATCCCTGTAATCCCAGCACTTTTGAAGGCCCAGGCAGGTGGATCACCTGAGGTCAGGAGTTTGAGACCAGCCTGGCCAAAATGGCAACACCTGGTCTCTACTGAAAATACAAAATACTTGGCTGGGGTGGTGGCAGCCGCCTGTAATCCCAGTTACTCGGGAGGCTGTCAAGAGAATCGCTTGAACCCGGGAGGCTGAAGCTGCAGTGAGCCAAGACTGGCAGTCCAGCCTGGGTGGCAGAGTAAAACTGTCTCAAAAAAAGAGAAAACAGTAAGGACCAAATTAAAACAAAATTCAAGGAAAAGTATATGCACTTATGTGATTTTTCTGCAAAGACATAGACTTTAGATATCGAAAATATAAATTATGATAAAGTGACATATTTAGAAAATGGAATTTTCAGGACTTGTTAATCAGTCAAACTTGAGATAGTGGGAGAGAGGAGGAGAGGTCTAAATTAAATATTGTGTGGTGAATGAGTTGAGAAACTTGATCCATGACAGTGTCTGTTTATTCAAATATGGTGGAAAAATTAGAGCAGAAACGATTTCAATTTTGAGTCTCTGTAATATCTGTGGGAAATCAAATGGAGATATATACAAGTGATCTCAATAGATTACTCAATACAAGTGATCTCATAAGTTATAAGCAAATGTAATATTAGCTCTATTTTGCTGATAAAAATTAAGCTCAGAAGGAAGGTAAAATTTTCTGCGAGGTATTACAGTTAAAAAATACTGGTATTGGATTATCTAACTTTAGATCAAGTATTTATTTTTACATAATAAGGGATGTGTGTGTGTGAGTCTCGTGTGTGTGTGTGTGTGTGTGTGTGTGTGTGTGTGTAAGGGAGAGAGAGAGAGAAAGAGAGAGAGAATCTGTGTGTTTAAAACAATTTCTATTTCAAGTAAAAAAATCCAAAGGATTCCCCAGTGTTTCTGTGTAATCTTGGGGGAATCTCATGTTCGCTTTTGGTTCTAAGTTGCTATTTCCAGGGAATTATCAGTTTAGCTATATTTTAAGGCTCGTGTACTCTTTGATTTGCTCCATTTCTGGCTAAACAAGAAATTTAGACATGACTACCAAGTCAATACGCCTATATATATCAGTTCCCATATATTTTGTTTTTCCTCCTGTCATAATAGCTAAGGTTTTTTGTTCCAGGGTCAACTCTACCACATGAAAACTAAAACCTCTCCCCTTATAAAGAACCACACTACTTTAGTTGTCTTTTCTTTTTCCAAAATCATTTCCTCACCATTAGACTGTTTTTAAATTAGCATAAAAATCAAGAATTAAGAACAATAATCCCTTTATTAATTGCCATCAAAAATAATTTCTAATAATGCCCATCCAAAAAAAAAAAAAAAGGGAACCAAAGCTCTCATTCACCTTCAGATTGCTTATTGTTGCTTGAACTCACTTCATTTAAGTTTTTGTCTTCACTGCATCCAAATTGCTCTTGTCAAGACCTTTAAAGACTTCTATATGCTAAATCTAATAGCCAATGTTCAGTGCTATCTGACCTGTTTGCAGTATTTGGCACAGTTGATAACTTACTCTTTCTTGAAATTCTTCCTTTCCTTGGCTTATTGGGCCCCACTCTCCTGCTTCTCCTCCTCCAGAGTTGACTGCTTTCTCCATTTCACTTATTTCTACTCATTTTCCCAACTCCTAAATGTCGCAGTGTTCCAGGGCACTATCCCCAGAACTCTTTGTCTGTACCCAGCCTCTTGCAGATCTCATGCCTCATGCCTTTAAATCCCATCCATATGCTAATGTTTCCCAAATGTTTCTCAGGAACTAAGACACCTTTTTTTTTTTTTTTTTTCCCAAACTCCAGGTTTCTTTTTTCGCCCCAAATGCCTACTCTTATCTAGATTTGTTGATTAAGAGGCACCTCAAATACAATATGCCAAATTAAGCTTTTGGTATTCAAGCTTCCAAAACTGCCTCCTCTCTGACTTTTTATGTACATAAATGACACCTACATTTTCCCAAAACTCAAGCCTTAGTGCTTTTCTTAACTTTTTCTTTTTTTTTCTTTTTTTAATATCACACTATCAATAAATCCTATTGACTATTTTTTTTTTTAAGTTTAAGTTACATCACTCCTAGCTCCCTATCCTGTCAAAGCTGCATTATCACTCACCAGATGTTGGTGTAACCTCTGAACTGATCACACTACTTCCATTCTTGCCCCCAAAAATATTCTTCACCTTGTAGTCAGAATGGCTTTGTAAAACAAATTAGATCATACTACTAATCGCTCAAAAATCCCTCAGTGCCTTCTGTTGTCACTCAGAGTAAAATCTAAAGTTTTTAACTATGAAATATGAGACCTTAAGTGATTTGGCTTTCTGTAAGTCTCCTGACTTCATCAGTTGACCCTCCTTCTTGTTTACCCCCTTTTTAACACTGTCTTCTTTCCTAGAATTGAAACTTTGTAAGCATTTTTCATTTGAGGGCCTTTGCTTTTGCTATTCACTTAATGGGAATACTTTTTGTCCATTAAACCTCATGATTCCTTATTTATTTCAGGCACTGCTCAGATGTTACCTTTATTCAATTGAATATAAATCTGGCTACTGTTAAAAAAAGATCAAAATAATAACGAATTAAACAAGATGAAAGTTTATTTCTCTTTGACATATGAATCTGAGAGTATTGGTGGTCCAAGGGTGTTGTTGCTGTTCCGTAGTATCAAAGACTCAGACATCTTCAATCATGTTGCTTAGCCATCCTCAAAACGCACCTTCCATCATGAGGTCTGGCAGCTACTACATCTCCCATCACGATGTTCACCTTCTGGACACTGGGAAAGAAGACAAGGCAAGGAGAAAAGTACTCGGTTGCACATGTCACTTCTACTTACATCCTACTGGCTACAGCTTGATCACCAACTCTAAGGAACGCAGGGAAATGTAATCTAGGCTGTGTGGCTATGTGGCCAGCTAAAACTCAAAATGTCTTATGACTAAAGGAAAATGAAAACATGGTTATTGAGAGACAATTAGCAGCTTTTGTCTAAGAAAATGTGTATCACACCTTACTCTACAATTGTCTTTAATCTCCTTTATTTTTGCTTGTAGGACGTATAATTACTTACATATCATGCTTATTTGCTGATTTTTTTTCTGGCTCCCAATAGTTTAAAGTAAAATTCTCTAGGGCAAGAATTTTATCTATTTTAATCATTGAGATCCCTATAGATCTATGAACTCAATCAGTGTATTTTGAATGAAGAAGAACTCTCTGAATATCCCTGAACTCACTATTCTCTCTCATCCCCATGGATTTTCACAAACTGCTTGCTCTTCTCTATTTCCTTTGAGTCACATAACCCCAGTGTCTATTTAAGGTTCGGTTTCAGGCATTAGCTCATTTGTGATAACTTTGTGAATCTTTTAGGTGTCTGTTCTGCACCACCCAAACCCTGCATTCCGGTCCTCCTTCCGATATCTGTCTCCATTATTATATTACAAACTCCTTGAAGATAAGAAGCCAGGTCTTATCTTTGTATCACGGGCTCTCCATTAGTCAGTACTCTGACTACATTTGATAAAAACTTTCAAACTATTTAAGTAAAAAAAGATTTTAAAGCCAGTTGAGCATTGAGGTGGGTTTCTCTCATGTAACTCCAAGAGCAATAAGACCTTATGCTCCTTCACCTTGATCATTTCCAGTGGAAAAAAAGGAGTTCCTTCTGGTAGCCCTCATGAAAGAGCTGTTTTTTCTATCTTTTCTGAGAGATACTTGGTCATTTTCTTTGTAAGCTCTGAGTCCTCTTTAAACCCAGTATTTAATAATGATTTTCTTCTCTTTAGGTTAGAAGGTGGGAGGAGAATGGAACTCTCAAGAAAGTCACCCCAAGATCTTTGGATATTTTTCTGAAAAAAAAAATCAATTCATAAGCTTACAGTAAACCAAACCTGTATTTCTTATCTGAAACATTCAGATAATAATTGCCTCAATTTGCTGCTTAACGTTGGTCAGAAAGGTTAGAGAATGTCCTTATTCATTAAACCCACATCAAATTAGGTAATGAAATTTTGATTAAATGTAACCCCTGCCAGTCATTTTTTTCTTGTCATTATAAAGGGAGTTGAATGTCCTTCTTCCTTTGAAGTAAAAGCCCAGGCTGCCTGCCAAAAAGTGTGCATGTGTGTTGAAAATGAGTAGCCAGTCCTGCTTAGAAATATTAAAAAATTAGAAATTTCACAAGCAGCGCACTGAAACTAGAGTACAATATCTTAATGTTGTGTGACATTATTTTGACTAGGCAATGTCATAATAGTGATGTTCTAAAATCTCTGCCTCCTTGCTTATTTTTGAAGAGATAAAAATCAGATCTAGTTTGGGAAAGTCCTCATCCCCTGACTTTGCAAAGAACCTCTTACAGCTTCTCACGATTCTTGATCATGTCACCCCTCTCTCACTGGATCAGATGGGTTTAGAGCTCACCTAGAAGCCAGTCACTATGGCCTGGAGGAGAGATATGCTCATTGGATAAACCAATTAAGGTCCACTCAAGAAGAACAGGTGAGTCAGTCTTAACCAGAGTGTTGGTGGGTGGGGAGGAAAGTGGAGTGGATTCCCCAAGAGACAATTAGATTGCTTTGAACCAGGAAAAGGGCAAGTATACTCCAAATGTATACTACAAGTGTTCATTGCAGATTTCATTGAGAGTTTAATAAATAGATGTGTAGTACAATTTTATGTGTGTAAGAAACCGTATTTATAGAGACATAAATATATATGCAAAACAGAAGGTCTTCAAGTTAGGCAGCATAAGGCAATGCTAGCAGTGCTAGCATTATGCATAGTGGGAAGGTAGTACAAATGTAGGGTGTAAGGGGATTCCACTAAGAAGAGATGGTTCACATTTAACTTTACATACACATGTACTGCTTGAATTTTGTAATAAGTATGTAGTCATAAGTAACATGTTACTAAAAACCATCTTTAATTGGAAAACAATACTCATTCCTTATGACAAAAAGTTTATAGCTTTATTTAATGAACAGTCATCTAGAACATGGCAAGCAATATTGGCAGGATGTCATTGTATTTATACTTTACTCTGCTAAAAACTCTTCACATATACTACCAGTTAGAGTCATATTTACTTTTGTAATAAGTCAGATACACCCTATTTTATTAGATAAGCATGTTTCTTCTGGAATTTAGCCTTTAGAAAACAAAAAGAAAGAAAAATATGCATCTACCTATTTTTTAATACAATACAAACATTTACATTTTGCTTCCGGAAGTTATATTTACTTACTTATTTTCACATGAGAAAGTCATTCATCATGTTTTTGTCTGAATGCTTCTGCCTCCCCAAAATTCATGTGTTGTAACCCAATCCCCAATGTCATGGGGCCTTTGGAAAGCCATTAAGTAATAAGGTCACTGGGTTGGAGTGGGATTAGCGCCCTTATAAGAGGCCCTCAAGAACCGCTTTGCCTTTTTCTCCACGTGAGAACACAAGAGGGCAACATGCATAGACCAGGAAATGGGCTCTCGCCAGACACTGAGTCTGCCAGTGCCTTGATCTTGGATCTCCCAGTTTTCAGAACTGTGAGGAATAAGTTTCTGTTATTTATAAGCAACCTAGTCTATGGTAACAGTCCAAAAGGACTAAGGCAGGTCATAGTTGTCAGATATTCACAGATATTAATTAAGCTTAGAGCTTACCAAGGCATTAGAAGTATTATACTTGTACTATCTTCATTGCAATGTCTCTTACAGAAATAATTCAATGAACCTCCATGACCCACTCTTTTTGCTTACTGGCAACAAAAATGTGACGTGAATGTGTGCATGTGTATAATGACAAAAATTACTAAATACATATAAGCATGTAAAAATTTGTAAAAATTTTATTGTGTATCTACTATATATCATCCACTGTTCAGGAAATATAAATGCAGAGTTGAATGACACAGTCATTACCCTGAGAATTACAAAGACTACTGGAAATCACTAATAAATAAACAATTTCTTTTTATTGTGGTGCATTAATGAGGAACAGGGGAAAACTGAGAGTCGCAGAGTCAGCCTTAAGTAGTGTGAGGGATGGGAGGAGATCTTTGTAAGCCTTCACCAGAGAAGCGGCTGCTTGGCAGACAATGGGGTGAGAGTATGTTTTAGGCTGAGGGAAGAGTAAGCACAATAAATGGAGTTGTAAGCAGCAGAGTAGAACTGGGAGCCTGCAAAGAATCCAATACTGCTCATTAATGAAGTGGAAGGGAGGAGTTATCACCAAGTAGGTAAGAGTCACAATTTACTATGCTATTGTAAACATTTCTATAGATAATGCAGTGATATTAAATAGGGGAAAGACATGACCAAATATATGCTTAGGGAGAAACATTTTGGTTTAGAAGCTATGTGAAAGTGAATTAACGAAGATAAGGACTAAAGGAAGAACCAGTTAAGAACACTATTAATCCAGATGACAGATGATGGTTTGAAGTAAGTGATTCTGGAAGCATGGATGAAGGAGATTTCAGGATTAATTTACATGTGGGATTATGATACAGAAAGAATTAAGGATGGGCTTCAGAGAGTATGTAAACTTTCCCCCAGATAGGTAAATGTATTTGATTATGCATATTTTCTGGGGAAATAACATTGATTTTATCAGATTCCCAAATGGGTTCATAACTGAAACAAGTTTGAAATTATTGTATTGTGCTATTTTCATAATCACACTTTACTTAAAGACATATCTTTTGACAATTTTTATTTGGTTAAGGTTGCCAGATATAACTATTAATAATAAAAAGACAGAATGGGGTGCAGGACTTAGCAAATAAAAATGTAAATTTAGGCCAGGCCCAGGGACTCACACCTGTAATCCCAGCACTTTGGGACGTTGAGGCAGGTGGATCACCTGAGATCAGGAGTTTGAGACCTGTCTGGTAATAAAAATACAAAAATTAGCCAGGCATGGTGGTACATACCAGTAGTCCCAGCTACTCGGAAGGCTGAGGCAGAAGAATTGCCGGAGCCTGAGAGATGGAGGTTGCAGTGAGCTACGACCGCATCCCACCACTGCACTGCAGCCTGGGTGGCAGAGTGAGACTCCGTATTAAAAAAAAAATTATACTTAACTAAGCATCCTCTGCATTTGCATCTCTACTTAAAGACATTCAAGCTGTGAAGTGATGTTTCTCTGAATGATATACATTATCTGGGTATAAATTTTCTTCCATTTACATTTCATTAACTAATTAGTTCACCCAATAAATATTGATTGGTTGCTTAATCTGTCCACTGAGTACACATTTGTTGGATAACAGATATATGCCCCTTTTCCTGAGGCACTAACAATGTATTGGGCAATATTTTTTTTAACTAGATTAAGAGTTAATAAATTACTATGGATAGTGATTACCATGTGACAAGCAGTGGATATCAACAGAGAACAAGGTGACTTTTTACTAGGTTGGGACGAAAGCCAAGCCAGTGAAGGGCCAGAAGGAACAGGTTTCAAGGAGAGAAAAGAGTTTGATGGAAAGACTGGAAGTGGGACAGAATTGCTGAGTTGAAAGAATAAAAGAAAGGAAAGAAAGAAAAAGAAAAAGAAAGAAAAAAGAAAGAGAGAGAGGGAGGGAGGAAGGAAGAAAGAGAGAAGGAAGGAAGGAAAGAGAGAAGGAAGGGAGGGAGGGAGGGAGGGAGGAATGGGGAGTGGCCAGGTGCGGTGACTCACACCTGCAATCCCAGCACTTTGGGAGGCTGAGGTGGGTGAATCATGAGGTCAGGAGTTCAAGACTAGCCTGGCTAACATGGTGAAACTTTGTCTTTACTAAAAACACAAAAATTAACTAGGCACGGTGACGTACACCTGTAATCCCAACTACTCAGAAGGCTGAGGCAGGAGAATTGCTTGAACCCAGAAGGCAGAGAGGTTGCAGTGAGCCAAGATTGTGCCACTGTACCCCAGCTTGGGTGACAGAGTGAGACTCTGTCTCAAAAAAAAAAAGAAAGAAAGATTTCATGTAGTATTGAAAGAGGAGACAGGATGCAGAATCAGCTATGTAAGTTATAGTTTGCAGGGCCAAGTTCGTAATGAAAACGTGGCCCCTTGTGCAAAAAGCAGAAAAAAAAAATGTACCATTACAGGTCCTAAAATACAAAGTATTTTCTTTTTTGTTGTTTCTCTTTGGATTTGTCATGGTGTTTTTTGCTTGATATTTAATATTATGTGTTAAAAAAAAGTTAAAATTCAAATTATTGCCACAAATTTTAACATTTATTTTTATATTGGGCAATTTAATATTTAAATGAAAATATAAGAGTATTTGTCTTGTATGCAAATTGTATTTCATAGCTCATATATACCTATGTATTACATTCTTAGAACAGCAAAAATGCTAAACAAAACTAACTAAAATGTTTTTATTTCACTTCCAATACAAACACATTCTACCACCTCTCTCTACCTTCAGCTGATTGATAAAGAGAAAGAATCAAGTGGAAAAAGAACTACAGGCTGCCCTATCTTTCCCTTTCCTTCTACATCATCCCTTTCAGTGTATGTGATTGGCAAATACAGAGAACTTTGGGTAAGAAAAGATATGATAGAGTTTAATGGTTCTTTGAGTTTCTTAGAATGTTAGTAACTTCTTTTGTCACTAGAAGCAAGATCTGATTCAACAGGAAAAGATGGCCTCCAAGAGCTGTCAGCAGACCCCACCCCCACCTACTAGTTGTAGACATTACATTTCACTTGTACTTGCTTTGCGTCTCAACTGGGAATGCACACAATGGTGAATCCACCAAAATTTTGTGCTTATGGGACACAACAAACTGGAACACCAAAAAACAATGGAACCACACATGGCATGTATTTCTTTTGTTCATGGACATGCTTCATTTTTTCCTTGGACTTAACTTACAAAACACAAATTCAAAGATAAAAGAATAATACAAGATGAGAATT